GGTTACATCGGCTTCAGTGGGAATCCTGGATGCATAGATAATGAGTTAATTACTATCAATCAGCCCCTGCTGCTCAAAGGATGCCAACTTCCAGCAAGGAACAAACACAGATCACAAGAGACCTTGATCGCTGGAGAGTCAAGTGGAGGATGCAACAGCTCAGCTCCAAGCTTCAGAGTACAATTGAGACAGAAAGACAAAACAAAAGCACAAAGGTCAAAAGTAAGCACTCCTCCTCTAAGCTGATGGCACCAAAGCTCTGCAAGATAAGGAGGTTTAAAGAAGGACTTGACTAACACCAGAGACTCTGCTGGGAAGAGAAAAATTACTCTTCACTTTCAACAACCACAAGTATCAATAGGTAGGGAAAAGATTAAAGAAGGAATTTTTAGAGATCACACACTAAAACTGTTTATGCTCACCCGCATAAAGAAATCCTCTATCTACCTACAAATAACTAAACATATTTCTAGATATCTCATTCCTCCCTGCAAGTCTACAGATCCCTTCTGAGGTCTTCTGCTTCACATCAACAAAGCTGCCACAACTTGTTCAACCAAGCCTTGGAATAGGTCTAAGCAGACTTAAAGACACCAACATAAAACCTCCATCGCAGCTCTATGATTCACTTTGGAAGGCAGAATAGTGAGATAAATATAGGGCATCCAATCAGTTTTATTCAGTAACAGTGAGCATGAAATAAACTTGTGGAAAGGGAAAGAAGCTACAAGAAGGAATCAGCCTGGAACAAGAAAAGACAACTTCAGAAGCCAGAGCAACAGGGTACTTTGGGAAACTGCAAGTCAATGAGGGTTTTATTTATCTATTAATGTTCTGGCAGACAAAATACAGTGTTTGGACCAAAAGGAACTAGATAGACCACAGCAAGAAAACCATAAGTCCAGACCAAGCTGGGCAAGGGATAAAGAGTCCTCCAGGCTATGAAGCTATAGGGAATCTAACTGAACAACTAAAGATCATTAACTAATGTCCACCAGAAGAGTAGATGGACTTTACACTCATCAGTGAGGCACAAACTGTTCAAAAGAGGCGATTCTATTCCCAGGTGTTCCTCCTCCTGCCTTGCAGAAATACATAACAGAGGTAGATGAGCAAGCCCAAAGTCCCCAAGCTGCTCAGAGACAGCCGAGTGGCCACCCACACTTTCCACGACTGGAATAGAGGACTCTTGTATTAAGTGCTGAAGGCAAGAGTGGTTCCCCATGATTGAGCACCTGTATGGTCTAATTCCAGCTGTGGCTACCCTTTTTCCAAGACCTTGCTCACTAAGACTCACGTAAGTCACTCTGTACAGGTTGCACAGCCAGTGCCTTAGCAGGGAATGGCAGGCTTACAACTAACTGAGCTGCAGCTAGCAGACAACAGCAGCAGAAGTTGAAGAACTTACGTTCTTCCTAGTCAAGAAAAATAGTCACACACTGATTTTCTTCCTCCGTGGCTAATAGCTAGGTTTGTGGGTGCTGCATCGCTGCTGGGCAGAGACAAAGTTTCAACGTTTGATCTCTAATCTCCAAGTAAAGAGACAGAGTGTTCAAACAGACTCCTGGTGAAACCATGGACAAGCCCTTTAGCAGAAGGGGATAAAATCAAGCCAGCTTTGAGCACCACAGGTAACACCAACTCACTTGTGTCTTCAGAGGGACTTATTCCTACAAGATCTTCTCTTGCCTACAAAGAGAAATACTTCCCCAGCTCCAGTTTCATTCTGGCTGTTCAAATTACAGAGCGTGATCATTGGTATTTATTGATGAACAGTTTTTGTTCAGCAGTACACCCATAGCAGACCCAGAAGGCTACAGGTTAACCCCACAGTAACTACTCAAAAGGACAGCTTTAGGTTAGCCATCACTTGGAGGAGCTTTTGCCAATGGGAATTTAACACAGAAAAAACACATTCATAGAAAGGTCGTGAAAGGAAAAAAGCCTGGCACACTGGAACATATATAGTGGCAGCCATGCTTGCCCTGAACACTGATTTCCAAACAGGGACTCTAATAACTCACTACAGTAACAGATTTGGAGAAGGGAGAGATGGCACAATCTTGACCTCCTCACAGACACTGATGTCTGCAGCTCACTTGGGTTTTGAACTTGTAAATTTGAGAAAACATTCTGCCTGCTTTTTCCAGGGTCCTTCCTGGCATCCTGAACACTCCTATTTCTCTCCACGAGCACCCTGTTCTCCCTTTCTTAGAAACGTGATCCACCTCTCTGTCTTGGCAGTGTTTTACACAATACTTGTTCTCCTTCAGGGAAAAAAACCTCCCCTTCATCCCACTCCATGGATTCCAGGATGCAGGCAAAACTGAAAAGCTTTGCAAAGCTCAGAAAAAGCAAACATAACCTAAGGACAGAACAAAAGGCTTGAAACAAAGCATGCTGAACAGAGCGTCACTTCTCCAAGTGCAATACCGCTGTCAAGAACTGTTCACCGAGAGGTGTGTAGGAGCTACGCTTTCTGCTGAAACACTGTACTGGGTCAGAACTCATTCCAGATCTCACTCCTTTCTTGGTTAGCATGTGTCCAGCATATTTCCCAAAAAGTACCACTTCAACTTCACACATGGAACAAAGCAAATCCAGGGTTTTTAATATCAGATAGCTCCTCTGTTTTGATTAAGCAATTTGCATGTTAAGTATGGAATAACGATATGGAACAGGAACATCACCATGCTGTTAAAAACTCATGTCCTCCCTCTTAAGCATTTGATTATAGCCACATCTTCACCAGCACTAGACCCTACTTTTTCATAAACATTCCCTCAGCTTCTCTGCTTTACATTCTTAAAAAAAAATATAAAATCTATGCCTGGTATTCTGTAGAAAAAGGTCTTGCCTATCCTGCCCAGGTAATTAATGCACCCAGGACCACAGGACAGCTTGCATATGTTTTGAAAACACTCCTGTGAAAAACATTTCACCCCTGCAAAGTCAATGTACTCCCCAAATATGACAGCCCGCCCTAGCACGGCATAAAAAAAAATAAAACCCATCACAAAAGCTCAGAACAATATCCAGCGGAAACGCTGCTCAAAAGACCACAGCCTCTGCCGCTAATTTGCAAACCGTCCCAACACAGACGAAGGATGCCAATGTTTGGTCAACCAAACTTGTCTTTGAAATCAAACCTGAGTTTCCATATTCCACCTGAAGTTAGGATATTCAATTTAAGACAGCCATTCAGTAATTCAGCAAGAGCACAGTTAACAAATGCACAAGACTATAAAAAGCCCTGTAATTAAACAGAAAAACTTGCTTGATCCTCTCTCTCTACAGGAAAGAAATCTGTTAAGTAGAGAGAGAAGAATGTTGCTAATAAATGAAATCCTAAGCTGCATGGTGGGACTTGTAGTAAAAGGGAGTTAAATAGTGCTTTAAAAGTCAATATACAGTGGTATATCACAATGTTCACAGCGTTTTAAGTACCACCAGCTCAAAGGACAGCATCTCACTTAGCTAGAGCCAAGACACTTGTCTAGACTGGCTTCACTGGGGCAGAGCAGAAAAATATTTAACTTAACAGATGGTCTCCATCATGAACAGCAGGAGAAATCGCCAGAAAATTTAGGTTGAAATGGGTGTCCAGAGGTCACCTAGTCCAAACTACCTCCAGGTTACTCAGGTGCCTGGGA